CCCCAAAACCCCAAAACCCCGAACTGATAAATAATTCCCATAATAAATGTTATGAAATTAAAAATCTAATTAATAATTTTCAGTTTGAAATTTAGTTTAGAGAAATCATAAATCAATAGCCAAATTTATCATTAAGACTTGTCTTACCATCGCCTCTTTGATCTTCTGGTGGAATCCAATCATCAACTTCACCCTCTAATTTCTCATCCTCAATATCATTATTAAGGTTTCTTTGTTTTGAATTACCTATTGTGTCTTATACTATTCTTTTCTGAGTAACGTTGCCTCTTACCTCAGTTTCTAAATAAAGAGTTGGGGCTTGTCTTTTTCTCTATGCTTAATTATCATATTCCTTAATAAGACTTTGATATTTGGATAAATCTATATTTTCCCCATTTTTATTGGCATTATTTACAATCTCCTTGAAGTAGTTCCTCAGCCCACTGTCTTCATCTAACCCCATATCATCATCGTCCACAACATCCTCATCTTGCTAGTATTGAGACATTATCTTATCTTAGGCTTCCTTGATTCGCTTTTGAATCTATAATTCTTCTCTTAATCTTTATTGTTACTCCTCAATTTTTCTTTATTCCTCTTATTCTCTTTCTCTTAGCTCAGACATTTCCTTCAGTCTCTACATAGTATCTGTCAAACTTGGCCCAGATGGCTTTTGAGGCTTTTATTTCTTCTCTTAAATTAATTCCTCTTGCTTCTCTTATATTTATATTTGCTATGCTTTATGCTGAAAATTAGTAGGTGCTACCATCGAAAGTAATTATGTATATTTATCGATTTCTTTGTTTACTTCAACTATTTACAACCCTAGTTTCTTTTATGTATCTAATCTTATTTTATCCTCATTTTATTTCATATATGCATCCAGTTCATCTTCCTCATCCTTTTCCTCTTAGTTAAGATTGCCTTGACTTTTGCTAGGCTAATTTTACATTTCTTCTGTAATTTTCTACCTCTATTTAAACAGTTATTCAAGTTTGAGTTTCAAACTTTCATAAGTTTCAACCTCTTAAAGGTTGCTTTAATCATAACTTTGTTTTTTCTTGTTAAACTGAGTGTACTTGGTTCTATCAAAGTATTCATCTTCCTCATCGTCACTATTGTGATACTTGAATACAGTTTCCTACTCTAGATCTTTATTAGTCTTTTTTGGTTTGTTCTTCTTAGCTTTAAGAGAAGTTTTCAGCTTTTTCTCTTATTTTTCGAGCTACTCCTTCATTTCATTACATTTTTTATCTATTCCTCTCAATTTACCCTAAATAGGTTTATCATCGAATTCAAGTTCTGACTCACTCTTTAGTTTTGTTTTTTTATCCAATAGTTTTTTAAGTTATCTTCTAATTCCTTCAACTTTATTCAGCATTTATACTTATTTCTCAGTTAAATCATCTCTTTATCTGAGTACTTCTACATTCAATAATCTAACATCATCATCACTATCCTCATCTCCATCTGAATCACTATTTCCCTCTCTTGACTCATCATCATTCTCATCTCCCTCTTCGTCTTATTTTCTTTAGTACTCAGCTATTTCATCTTCTTCAAAACCCATACCCCAGGAAACACCTTCATTATCTTTTCCATGTAGTTATTAAATCTTTTAATCATGAAGTTAATTTACTTGATCGTGGAATTTTTTTAATTGATCTAATCTCCTTTTAAATAAGAAGTCCTAATTTTGTCTCTTAGAAACTATTTGAATCTTTTTCCTTGGTTACCCATCATCTACCTGCTCCTCTTCCTCAACTTCTTCAGGGCCATTAAGTATAAGCATTCTTGTAGACTATCCAAATCTGATAAGGTCATTTAGCTTTAACTTGATATATTGATTAGGAGGTATTTGTCTCTTATTCAAGAATGTTCCATGAGTACTTCCTAGATCATATAAGAATATATCTCCAGTGTCTTTATGCTAAATTATTGCATGCTTTCTGGATATTGTTGGATTCTCCATGAATACGTCACACACTTCTTTTGATCTACCAACAAGATAAAATGGTTTTTCATTTAGATGAATTTCTTCTAGTATTGCTCCTTCTTTCATAACCTCAAAACTATAGATAAAATTACGAGAAATATGTGACTTACTAATAATCATGCAAAGATTTAGAAGACCAGAATGGTTCAATGTATTCAAGCATTTCTATCTACTACTTAGATGTACTCGATTGGTTTAATTCAGCTAAGTTCATTTTTATTGAAATATGTAATTAATTTATATCTGTATATTTTATATTTTAGAATCTAGGGGTTTTGGGGTTTTGGGG